GACTATCAACTTGGATGTTTCCTACTATATACAGCAAAATGATTTCATTACCAAGAAATTTCTTGCAACACAAAAGGGTGAGATAACTCAAATATTTGCTTTATAATCAACCAACCTATACAGTTCATCTTTCCTAGGCTGAAATGACTGGAATGGTGGCCCATTCTCTTGTATAAAATCCTTCCTCTTCTGAAACCCTGAGGGAAGGTAATTGAAGTAACAAATGTGGAGCCACAGTTCCAGTTCTCTATGAAACTACTGCTGGGTTCAAAAAAAAATTTTTTTTCAAAGACAGGTGGAAATTGTGGGGCTACTCTGTACAGTTTTTAGAAATACTTCCAGAACGACTTAATTAAAAGGGCCTAAAATGGCCCTGTAAGCAATGTCCTTGGAATGCTTGTTAGTGTCGAGATGAGGGCCATTCCCCACCTCTACTACTGTCCTTTCTGTTATCAGAGTCATGGCTCCAGCCATTAGGATTCCTGTCGTCAGAGCAGAAATCCTCTCAGCCTCCTCTGTAATGATAGTCAGACCCACGATCAGAGTAGCGTTGCTCACGGCTATAGTGTCTATCTCCTAGGTAGGGGTGAGAATCCTGTCTTTTACGCTGTAATGACAGTGCATCTTGGCGCCACTGGGAGCTGGAAGACTGGTTAAAGGTATGAGTGTGTGATTGACCTGATGGCAAAAATCCCGACTGATCTGCATGTGGAGAACCAAATTTCCCAACATATGACATCTGTCTGAAAACATTGTTCATTACTGCTAGCCGCTGATAATCTTCTGGAGAAGAGAAGGACCTCTGAACCATCTGCGCTGATGGAGTTACGTCCTTTCATAGCTGTTAGGAGATGTGGAGGTGGGGCTTAAATTTCCAACATGATGCTGGGGATATGACGCACTGGCATCCTGAAAGGCTGATCTAAACTGAATTTTGATAGGCCTCTTGAAAAGTTTGATTCCATTGAGAAGATTCATGGTGTAAGGAACGGACACTTCATGTTTGAAATTCACGAATGCAAACTGTTTCAGTTTGCCATCTTTATCTTTTGGGATTTTCACCTTTATTACTGGCCCAGCCTGGTGGAACAGCTCGAAGAGGAGCTCCTAGGTCACCTTCGTCTCCAGGTTGCCCACAGAGTGCGGTCGGCCTCGGCGGCCGCCGCCCCCATTCCCGCATCGCTTCCAGTCTTGGGCCTAGTCTGACTGCTCACAGCTAGCCAGCCGACCCACCTACCGGCCCTACTGCGCCCAGTAAAAACTTTTTAAAAGACCAATTTAGATACCTATTATCCTATAGAATATATATTTTTGATTTTCATATGTAGCACAAAGTGTTAAGCTGAAACATTACTTTTAAAAATCAAATAGTCAAATTGCTTCATTTTCTAATCTGAACTTTTCATCCTATATTAAAATGGCAGCTAATGAGATATAGTTCCCCAACGGCCATTTTTCTACTGAGGATGCAATTTCGATGGGAAAGTACCTCTACTACGTAACACAGCACTAGCATCAGCAGCAGCAATGTCTGAAGAATCACAGCCGCCAATCCTGGTTGTCTCCATAACATCCCCAGAAGGCTGGGAATTTTTAGAACACAGATGTGAATTCAAAGCCTCTGGATTTCAGGATCTGGATTCAAAGCCCATCTATTTACTATGCACTGTTTCCGCTGCCTATAGACTGTTGATTCTGGAGGGCACCCTCCTTGGTAAAAAAGACAAATTATAGGTCTTAAAGAAAGTACCTAATTGAGGCTCTCTCTGCCATAATTCAAAGAACTGAGTGGCTTTGGAAAAGAGAAGGCTCTGTAGGAAATGTAGGTTAGTGGGGTTTTGACTGTGCCATAGCAGGACAAAGGCCCAAGATGGGAGTAGAAACTCCAGTTCTGATGCTGGCTTTGTTATGGTTAAACGGGAAACGTTCTCCCTAGGCTCACTGCTTTTGTTTTGTTGTTTTCATTTGTTGAGACAGGCTCTCATTAGCAAAGGCTGACTGGGATCTATGCTTCAGAGGTTGACTTTGAAATCCTGTTCCTCCTGCCAACCCTTAATGATTGAGATTGCTTACAGGTTTGCTCACCACACCTGGCTTTAGGCTTTGTCTCCAGCTAGTGGAGCAATTTTGGAAGGGTCTAGAAAGGCAAGGAGGCAAGGCCAAGCTTAAAGAAGTAGGCCACGGGGGTGGGGTGGGGTGGGGTGGGGGGCAGATTCATGGAAGTAACTTATGCCTTCCAGTTCCTCCGCTTCCGATATGCCAGGCAATGATGAAGTCCCTCCCTACAGGGCCAGAAACTCGAAGCCAAGTGGACATGGTCTCAACCTTTTAAAACCATAAGCCTAAGTCAGTCTTGTCCCCTTTACATTGTTTCTGCCAGACATCTGGTCACAGTGATGAAAAAAGAAAATGTAGTTCTGCCACTGAACAGGAAAGTAATCTAAGATATCATGTATTACTTTTTCATGAGATTAGCATAGTTGATTTCAGAATTTCCATCCAGCTACAAAACCCTACAATTCTTCCTGTCATGAATGTAGAAAGCATCCTTTATTTCATTCTCTGGAAAGCACCGGGTATAAAGAACTATCTTTATTAACAAGATCCCAACAACATAATTTTACTCTCCTCTGAGGTCAGCCTTGGGAATTCTATGGCAACCCTTTTGCCTCCCATCCTCAAATCCTTCAGGCAACTAAACTCATGTCATTTATGTCTCGTGGTTGTGGGTCCTCTATTCACACTGCCAATGCTGCAGTACCTGTACTTTTATCTGAACCACAGGAATACTTAACTGCTTTTCTTCCTGAGTCTGCCCTAATGAACTCCATTTGGCTCATTATGGTTTATACTAGGAGAAAGCTGTTATTTCTTTTCTTTCTTTCGTTTTCTTTTCTTTTTTTTTTTTGTTTTTTGTTTTTTGTTTTTTGAGACAGGGTTTCTCTGTGTAGCTTTGGCGCCTGTCCTGGATCTCACTCTGTAGACCAGGCTGGCCTCAAACTCACAGAGATCTGCCTGCCTCTGCCTTTGCCTCCTGATTAAAGGCGTGCGCCACCACCGCCTAGCTAAACCCGTTATTTCTTACTCTTATTCCATAATCAATCTGTCGGCAAAGCCCGTTGTGTCTCTAAGATGTATTTTAGACAAAATACTATTACTTATTGCTTTTCCTGTTGCCTTTATCCAGATGCATGCTAGCAGTATTTTTTGACTCTCCTCCCCTGTCCAGTCTACTCTCAGCACATCATCCAGAGAGACTGCATTAAAATACTGAATTATGTCGCTCCTCTACTTCGAAGGCTTAGGAGAGCGGCCGGTTACTGTGGAACTCCATTTCCCTCCCCTCTTCTTTGCTCCAGCCACATGGACCCTCTTACTGTTCCTACCGCGGGCCACAAACGAGACCCCTTGCAGAGACTTTGCATTTGCTGTTGTTCTGTCGGGAAGTCTCTCTCCAGACAGCTGCAGGGTAAGTTAACTCCAGCATCTGCCTTCTCAGGAACAGAACGCTGCAGTTCTGTCGCCTTTTCCAAAACTGAGATCTCACTTGTTAATGCTTACTTCGGCACTCACTATCCAACAAGACTATGTTTTATTTTTTTAGGCTTCTTCTCTCATCTCTCTTCCCCATAGCAGCAGGGGCTTTGACTGTCTTATCAGGCACCTAAAAACAGCACTTACATGGTGGTATTTGGTCTAGAACTGTAGGGACCTGTAACAAGGAAACATTCCATGAAAACACGGAGACGTACAACGGATGAAACGTCTCCTTTACGGATGGCTAAACAAAATTTGACGGGGGTTTGGCGTCTTGTGTAAGGAAACCACGTGCTTTCGTTTTAAGCACCGGGGAAAACATTCTCATTGTCATGACGGCCTTAACGTTGGTCAAGGGGGATGAATCCCACCTTATTTCTCCACGGATTATTCTTCTGTGTACCTGACTGCGAGATAGAGGGCAGAGTAGAATCTGCTGGATTAGGAAACTCCCAGTTCTGAATGCCGGTGCTCAAAGGCCTCGAGCCTGGACTGCAAGGGAAAACACGTGGTTAGGAAGTCCACCGTTAAAACGACGACGACGGGCTAAACACAGGAACGTCCCATGAACCTCAGGAGTTGTAGAAGCTCCATTGTCTCTTTAACCCGAAAACCGGGGCAGTACAAATAGGGAAGGGAGAGGGGGTGCAGTGGGGTAGGGTAGGGTGGGGAGCGGGGGTGGGGAGCCGGGGGTGGAGGACAGAAGAAGCGAGGAGACTCCGTTTCCCTAGTAGTCCCGCTGTCACCAGGAGACGCATCCGTGTTCCTAGGCGAGACCCCGGGCCGTCGTGCCGTCCCCGCGTCCCTCCGCGCCGGCGGCGAGGACGGGAGAGCGGCTTGCGGGCCAGCACGGCCTTTCCGATAGGGCGCGACCCCAGCGGG